TTTTTTTTTTTTGGATTGGGCTGATGAGGGAGTAGAGGAATGGCTGGCCCCTACGTTCAGGGAGCGTTCAGTGTAGATGGGAAGTCAAGACACACATAGAAAAGAACATGACGTGGCCCTGCGGGTTCAGGAACAAATGCTGCAGCATCACAGCCCTCAGGCGCTTGGATGTAAGCCACAAAAACTGACTCTGCTTATCTTAACCAAAAATATATATTTTGAAATATGTATCTGTCATAGGCCCACAGAATTGTGGGAGTGTGGGAGGGAGCAGGAGAACCAACTTCTTTCTCTCTCTGGCTTGGCCACTCTAGAAATTTTTAACTCCTCTTCTGTCTTCACAGATCGTAGTCGGGTTTTAGGCATCCAGGTTGTGAGCATCAGTGCCACAAACATGAGCCCGACCTGGGGAATCAGTGGTAAAGCGTCATCCTACCAAATACTAGTTGTTGGGGAGACCACGTTCTTCAATCTCACTGCCAATGAGATGCATGTTGTCATCCCTGGACTCACATCCGGCACTTTATACAACATCACCGTGTATCCTTTACATGACGATGGTTCTGAGGGCATGCCCGGCTTTCTCCAAGCATATACTCGTGAGTTCACTCGTTCTACCTAATCTTTCTTGTCTGCCTGCTACTGGCAGCCTCACTTATAAACAAAAATAAGCTCTGTTCCCTGACCAAAGGAACGCACAGCTTAGTGTGTAAGTCCACAGTGACTCTTACTCCAGGACATGTGATACCATACAGGTGATTGTTGATTGATGCTGACCACGTGCCAGGCTTCGTGTGACATGCTTTACCTGCAGTACCTCACATAATGCTCACAGCATTCCTGTGTCTTAGTTGGCATTCACCTTATTTTATGTTTGAGAAAGCCAAGGTTGAGAGAGATGTGGGCCACACCTGGTAAGTGAAAGAGGTGGGATTAGACCTCCTGTCTGTCTCGACTCCAGCCTGTGCTTGTAACAACCATTCTAGTGTGGTGGAGACCTAGAGCAAATTGCTAGATGGAGACAAAAAGAACCTGGATATCCATGTCCCTTTGTCTCCAGGGGGCTGACATTATAATATCATCACTAGTAAAGCTATATCTCATCCTTTGTTTGCTTAAATGCCCCTTAAATGCAATGATAGGTAGCAAATAAAAAGCTTTCTGTTCCACAGAAGGCCAAATAGTTTAAAACAAAACAGTAATGGTATACCAGTAGTACAGTGGAAACCCTGGTGGTGTAGTGGTTAAGAGCTACGGCTGCTAACCAAAAAGGTCGGCAGTTTGAATCCACCAGGCGCTCCTTGGAAACTCTATGGGGCAGTTCTCCTCTGTCCTATAGGGTTGCTATGAGTTGGAATCGACTTGATGACAATGAGTTTTTTTGAGTAGTACAGTAGTGTGATAGAATAAAGGTATTGGAGATCAGCCATGCATTTAGCACTGTGCCAGGAGCTTTGCTTCTATTATAGTGACCTTCACAGTAAGTATTAGAAGGTCACTGTGAGTCGGAATTGACTTGATGGCAATGGGTTTGGTTTGGGTTGGTTTGGTTTTACAAATAAGAGACAGCCCAGCATGGCTGAACAATTTGCCCAAGGCCACAGAGCTAGTAAGCTGCGGAGTGGGGACCTGAGCCCAGGAATATCTGACTCAGGAGCCAGGGCTTGTCCCATAAGAATATTTTATTCAGGTGTCTGTTTCTTCCCAGGATGTCCATCTTAACATTCTTTCAAACGTTTTCTGGATTAGCTTTTTGGGAGAATGGAGTCTGCTTTTACTTCACCATTCTTTTACTGTTTAATCTCTCTGTTAGGATCAGGTTCAGCTGTGAGTACAAAAAACCCCAAATATCAGTGGCTTAAACAAGACAGGAGTTTGTTCCTCTCACATAAAAGCAGTCAGGTGCTAGGCAGGATGGAGATGGTGGATTGTTAGCCAGGGCTCTGTGGCAGGAAGCTGAAACTATGGGCTATTTTAAGCTGAAAGGGATTTCACTGCAGGAATTGAGGGTTTATGGAATCCTTGGAAAGGCGTGGAGCAGGCCTTTGTTTGGGCCACCAGAAATGACTCCTAGACCAACACTATTAAAGTGGACCACCTGGGCTGTCCTCATCTTTGTCACAGTCAGCAGGGTAGGACTTAGGAAGCCTCTGTTGTAGTTGTTGGCTCCAAGAGTACATGTTCCTAGCTGCGATCTTGAGTCAGGAAGATGTAGCCACCGCAGAGCCAGGCCAGGCCTGTGAGATTGGCACCAGCGGAAGACACATGCCTCATGCCCCAGCTCTCTGCACCTGCAGAGTGAATGACTGGCTCCTGTAATGATGCTGCAAAAAGACCCTGTGCCACCTCATGACTGTGCTGACCAGCAGAAGCAAGGTCTCTGCCTCACTTTCACAACTTGAGGAGGTCATCTCATTGCCTGAATCTGAATCACCCAGAATCCTAGTCACAAGGAACTCTAAGAGATGCATTTTTTAGCTTTGTAGCTTCTGCAGTAGAAAAAGACACACAAGAAGCAGGGTCAGATTGATTTTATTGTTATACCCACCATGGATAGGTTCATGAAGGCTTTCCAGGACCCAAGATGTTATCACCACACTATCCTCAGCCTGTTGTTTCAACCTTGTTGCCCTAGATGGCAGCCTGAACCCCAGTCATCACATCAACATTCCAGCTGCAGGAAGGAGAAAGGGAAGAAGAAAGTGTTCTCACCTTGGAAGTCATACAGTAATTCTGCTCACATACTGTTGTCCAGAACTTAGTCATATGGCTACATCTAGCTGACACGGAGTCTGGGAAATGTAGTCTGTTTTCCCCTAACAGCCCCATAGCTAACAGCCCCCAGCTGAAAATCTGGGTATCTACAACTGAGAAGAGAGGGGATAATGGATTTTGGGGATGAACAGCAGCCTCTGCAATACCTCCCTAAATAGTAGCCGTGGGAGGTTTAGTCATGTGTTCAAGGATAAGCAGCCAGCAGCAGCCAAGGTTCTGTTCCAGAGCCTGAGCCTTGACCGCGGGGTCACGCCTCTTCTCATTTCCTGTGATGACTCTGAAGCACGCAGTCTCTGCCGTCCTGTGGCCAAGTGCTCTCTTGATGGGCAGAATCACGGTTTCTGAGGGGCTTGTGTTGTAGGTGGCAACACAAAGAAGAAAAAGAGAGATCAAGTGTCTTGAATTTGAAATTAATCCCAGTGTGAATATTTTGTGGCATTTTGTCACCCTTGTCTTCTGGAGAAATAGATTCTTCTCTTTTTTTTTAAAGAAAGTTTTCTTTTGTTTCTGGTTTGCTAAGGGTTTTTTTTTTTTTTTTAAATTGTGGTAAATATGTATGTAACAAAACATTTGCCATTTCAACAATGTTCACGTGTACAGTTCAATGAAGTTACGTTTATCATGTTCTTTAACCGTCACCTTTAATCTTTCTCAAATTATACTATTACCCTTAACAGAATCTTAGTATCTACTAAAGAAACAGATTCTTAATCTATTCATTTATTTTCTTCCTGCAGCCCCTGGTCCAGTCTCTGACTTCCGAGTGACAAGTGTCAACACAACGGAAATTGGCTTGGCTTGGAGTAGCAATGACTCAGACTCGTTTAAGATACTTACCACACGGGATGGAGCTGGAGAACCTCGGAATGAAACAACCACCAACCATAGTATTATCATTGGTGGCTTAAACCCTGGGACCAAATATCATTTTGAAATATTTCCACAAGGACCAAATGGGACACAAGGGCCACCTCAAACAGTTGAAGGTCAAACTGGTAAGTGAATAGATGGTATTTTCAGTGAAACAGTGATGTTTCTTAAAGGAAATCAGTAGAATTGGTAAATGTCGGGTTTTCCTTCTAATTATGCAAAGAAAAATGTTGAAAAACAATTTATAACAACAGTAAGGCATGTTCATTTTATTAACTACTGAGAAGCAAAAAGAAAAAAAAAATCACGTGTAAACCACCAGCCAGAGGTAATCACTTTGAAGTAAGCTGGACTTTATGACAGTTGATAATAGATTTCCTTTTCCTCCTTTTCTTGGCCCAGAGTCCAGTGTGGTGTTTGGCATCCGCGTGGTGCGTGTCACCACAACTGAAATGGAGTTGAAGTGGGAGAGCACAGACACTACTTTCCAGTACATCTACCGTTTAGATATACAGCCTGAGGTCAGCTGTAACAAAACGGTTGGTCCCCTCAAAGAGATCACTCTAAGCAGCCTAATGCCAGGCACCCTATATAACATCACAATCACTCCAGAAATGGGCGATGTCCCAGGGACATCCAGCTCCATCGCAGAATACACACGTAAGTCTCTTAGGACGCCATTTTCGCTTGGAGGGTGGGAAGTAAGTGTTGGTTAAATGATTGGATAAGGGTTGATTGTATTTCTCGGTTCCAGGCTGAATTTGAAATGGCTTAATTTGAAAACATTGGCCTCAGCAAAAGGTCTGCTGTTTTCATGAGGTGCCGCTGCAGAAGCTATGTGAACTTGGCATCGTCTTTAGTCGCAGAAAGTGTTTCTATGACAATGAAAAATATAACTGTTCCATTAATTCCTTGGGAATACAGACTAGAGGAGGGTCACCCTGTCATGTTGGCGTAAAGATTCTGCCAGGTTGAGGAGCTTTGCATATAGCAGTGAGGGTAGTGGTTTGCTAATATTTGACCTACATTTATGGTAAAGATGGGTAGTTTATAGTTTCTTTTTCTTATTCATTAATCCAATTAAAAAACATACTGGGAATTATATGTCGAAAATAGATTTTGGATAAACTTAAAGTACTAAAAGAAACCTGAAAAACTTTAGTTCTTCTGAGATATAATCTGTGTAATTATTTTCTGAATGTCTTTTGGGGAAGGCTTCTATTTTATGAGTCAGGAAATAATAGTTTTATTCATTCTTTTCTCCAAAGGAGCCGGGGTATTTTGGATGCAGTAAGTAAAATAGTCCTGGAAGTCAAGCTGATTCATGCTGCTGCTTCTTCTTTTTTTTTTTTTTTTAAAAAGGGCCCAGCAGTGTGTCCAACATTGAAATAAATACCACTACCACAGCAGCAGCCTTTAGTTGGCAGAACTTTGATAACGCCTCTAGCACGTACACTTACCGCCTTCTTATCAGTGGAAATTCCAGCAACCCAGTAGAAAACATCACAGGTGTTGGAACCACCTATGCTACAGTCTGTGGTTTAATACCTGGCTCATCTTACACAGTAGAGATCTTCGCACAAGTTGGGAATGTCACTGAGGGGGCATCTAGCTCTGCGTCATTCTGTACAGGTGAGTAGCCCCAGCTGCCTCTTGACCTCCCTCCCATGTGCTGTTGACCTTGCGAACAGGACCTGTACAGTCTTTAGTTATTAGGTTCTGTGTCCTTTGCAATAATTAACACTGAGCTCGCTGAGACAGCCTGTTAGCTTGTTAGTGCTGTGTTGATGTGCTATTTGTTGAGCACTTACTATATGCAAGGCACTTTTAAATGAAACGGACAACTCCCTGACTTCCTGGAGCTTTGATTCTAGTGAGAAAGACAGATAATAAACAAGATAAAACTTGCTGCCGTTGAGTCAATTTTGATTCGTAAGACCCTAAAGGACAGAGTAGAACTGCCTTATAGGGTTTCCAAGGAGCAGCTAGCTGGTGGATTCAAACTGCCAACCTTTTGGTTAGCAGCTGAGCTCTTAACCCCTGTGCCACCAGGGCCCCTCATAAAGAAGATAAATAAGTAATTTATTGGACAAATGATTATTAGTGCTAAGGAGAGGGGGGAAAAGCAGGCAAAGGAGAAATGAAATGTTTATCGAGGACACCCAGTGAAGGCTTCAGTGGAAAGATGATTTTTGGGCAAACACTTGAAGGAGCCAGCCCTGTAGATGTCAGGAGGTAGAGCATTCCAGGCCTAGGGAGCAGCCAGTGCAAAGGCCCTGAGGCTGGCATGTGCCTGCTGTGTTGGAGGAAGAGCAGGAGCTCAGGGTGGCAGGAGTGGATCCACAGGAGCTAGAGGATGACGATAGGAGGTAAGGCCTGAGAGGTAATGGGGTCGGGGCATGGATGATGTTGGTCCTTGCAGTTTATAGTTTGGCTTTTGCACTGAAGAAGGTGGAAAGGATAGTGTTAAAATGGATGCTCAACTTTTTTGCCCTTCCTGGTCCTTGACAATCTCACAATGCAAAAAGTATGATAAAGGGAAGACTCCTCTATTTTTAATAGAGGATACTTTCAAAGAGTAGCCTGGGGAATGTTTTGCAGATGGGTCAGGGGTACTTCTGCTCATAGTTCTGATTGTTGGAGTCTTTCTTGAACACTGCCATATCTATTCTATCAGTGTAACACTGGTCTTCATTAAAACTCTGGGAGGTAGGTAGGAGCAAATAACACCCCTTTTGAAAGATGAAGAAACTGATCCCACCAGTTACACTGATTATGCAGTATGTTGTGTGTGTGGAAGGTGCCCTGGACTTGGGTTTAGAACCTTGTTTGGGCTCCACCACTTGCCAGCTGTGTCATTTTCAGCCAATTACTTAGCCTCTCTGTTATGGGTTGAATTATATAGCCCCAAAAGATATTTTCAAGTCCTAATCCCTGGTACCTTTGAATATGACCTTATTTGCAAATAAGGTCCTTGCAGATGTAATTAGTTAACATGAGATCATACTGGAGTAAGGTGGGCCCTAATCCAATGGCTGGTGTCCTTATAAAAAGGAGAAGAGACACAGAGACAGACAGACACAGTGGGAAGATGGCCATGTGAAGATGGAGGCAGAGACTGGGATCATGTCCCCACAAGCCAAGAAATGCCTGGGGCTACCAGAATCAGAAAGAGACAGGAAAGGATCTTCCCCTAGAGCCTTCAGAGGGAGCATGACCCTGCCGACAGCCTTGACTTTGAACTTCTAGGCTTCAGAACTGAGACAATACATTTCTGTTGTCTTAAACCAACAACAGATAAAATGGTAATTTGTTCAGAGTGGACTTGATGGCAACAGGTTTGGTTTTTGGTTTGGCCCTAGGAAACTAATACACTCTCTAAGCCTCAACTGATTGATGTGCAAAATGGGATAGTATTAACCATTCCTGTTAGAGAAGGATGGTTGAAAGGCCCAGAATGAGATGATGCAGGTGAAGTTGCTACCACTCACGATATGACCCAGCTTCTGCTCATGGAGCCCCTGTTCTTTCCCAGCATCTTGCTTGGTGACTGACACCCATTCTTTCATTTAATCCTCAAATAGCCTTGCAGTCAACGCCCAGAGCAGTTGGGTAACTGACCCAGGGTTGTCGTATGTTGCTGTCAAGCTGATTCCGACTCTTGGCTACCCCATGTGTGCAGAGTAGAACTGTGCTCCACAGGGTTTTCAAGGCTATGACCTTCTGGAAACAGGTCACCAAGCCTGTCTTCTGAGGCACCTCTGGGTGAGCTCAAAACTCCAACCTTTCTGCTGGTAGTGAAACACTTAACCCTTTGTGCCGCCCAGGGACTTCCTGACCTAAGGTCACACAGCTTGGTGTTGCCCGATTCAGGGTCAGTCTCTGACTCCTCCACCACACCATATGCCTGCCTCCTCATCACCAATGGGCCAGGATTTACTGCTCCCCGTGCTCTGGTGTTTGCAAAGGCAGAAATTCCAGAATCTCATGTGGTGCTGTGCTTGCCTTGCAGATGCCGCACCGGTGAACTTCAGCTGTGAGCCAGTCCCCAAAGAGCCAACCTTGGTCCTCACATGGGCCCTCCCTCCCGGCAACAATGCTGGCTTTAAGCTGGAGGTCAGCAGTGGAGCCTGTGACAACATGACGTGCCTAGAGAACTGCTCCTTGGAGAACGGCACCAGCTGCATGGCAGAAGTCACACATTTGAATTTTTGTACCTCGTATAACATCAGCATCACCACCTTGTCCTGTGGAAAGAATGCATCCTCCGTCCAAAAAACCTGCACCACTGATAGCACAGGTGGGTATTCGAGCAGAAGAGTAGTCAGGTGGCATGGTGGGCACCCCGGCATGTCCACGAGTGTGGCCTAGAAATCTGTTTTAAATTTTCTCTAAAATATTTACTTTTATTGGCATAGAGTGGCAACCCATTCTGTAGAAGTCTGGAAAAGCAGAATAAGAAGAAACTCATTTTGTATATTCCAAAAGGTCCCTTTGCTTTGCAGAATAATCATTGCCACGTTTTAAGTAGTGAGTTCTCTTACTTCATTTAAAAAAAAAAAAAAAAAGCATCTTTAGAGAAATGTTCAAATATATACAAAAGTAGAGGACAGTATAATGAAACCCGTGTGCCCATCGTTGGGCGTCCAGTTGAACAGTTACCAGCAATTGGCCGATATTGTTTCATTTTTATCTTTTCCTTCCCTTCGCCCTCACTGGATTACTCTGAAACCAGTCCCAGTCAGTAGATCATTTTATTTGTCAACAATGGAGACTCCTTTTTTTTCTTTTAAACATAACCATATTACTATTATAATCACGCTTAGAAATGTAATAATCATTTTTTATTATTATCAGATATTTGGTTAAGATTCCTATTTTCCTGGACTCCGTAGTTTTCACAAACTCCCAAGCTGTTGTGTGGCATAGTAGACACTCACTGCACGGTTGATTCTTTTCTTTTGCGGTTTTATTATTTTTAATAATTTATTTTTTGTTATTGAGGCTGAGTTGATTTTTTAATGCCCCGCTCCCCGCTTTTTTTGGTGGGTGTGTGTGTGCTTGGAAACAAATTGCTTCCCACATCTTTGCTTCGTTTTCAGCTGTCGTTTCCTCCCCATGTCCTTGCAAGGTGGTATTGTCTTGGACCAACCCAATGGGGTCTGTTCTCCCCTTGTGCTCTCTGACTGCTAAATATCTTTTCTTTAGAGCATCAGAATATTTCCAAAAAATAGGTCAGTTGCTGGTAGATTCGAACTGCCAACCCTTTGGTTAGCAGTCAGGCTTTTAATCACTGCACCACTAGGGCTCCTGGGAGTCCAACAGCTGATGGAAAATTTGGGAGTACATGTCGGGAAGCCTCTGTTGAGGCAGCTGACAGTTAGGCTTGGGGACAGTGTCCTTGTGGTCACTGCTGTCAGTTCCTTGAGAGGTTGCTGAAGCCTGTAGTTTAGAGCTGACTGTCCGATAGAAATACAGTGCAAGCTACAAAGAATTAGAAGCCATGAAAAAAGAGCTGAGATAATTTGAATAACACGTTAGCGAACACAATATATTCAAATATTGTCATTTCAACATGTAACCTATATGACATATTGAGTCATTTTACACTCTTCGTACAAAAACCCCAAAACCAAATCCATTGCCGTCGAGTCAATTCTGACTCATAGCAACCTGTAGGACAGAGCAGAACTGCCCTATAGAGTCTCCAGGGAGCGCCTGGTGGATCTGACCTGCTGACCTTTTGGTTAGCAGCTGTAGCTCATAACCACTACACCACCAAGGTTTCCTTTTCCGTAGTAAGCCTTTGAAATTCATGGTGAATTCTACATTTACAGCACATCTGAACTGGGACTAGTTACATTTCAGGTGCAGCCACGTGTGGCAAGTGGCTACTATATTGTTCGGCACAGGTTTAGAGAATCGCGTTGTGATGTTTCTGGAGTTCCGTTTTCTCAGTCTCCCTGAATCTTGGATATAATGATAAAAATGAAGAAACAATCCAAATTGTCTGTGGGAGACAAATTTAGGTGGAGTTTGTGTGTGGAGAGGGATCATCTTCAGTTCAGTGTTTTCTTCGTTTTGTGTTAATTCAGTGAGTGGCTCTGCAAGTTTAGCTTGGAAGGGAAAGGAAAGACGCACAGATCATGAAGGTTGTCCGTGGAACATTCTGGTAGCGGGCTTTTCTGGTTTCTGGGAAAAGGGCTGGCCGAGTTCCTTTTGGTGATATTTTAAACCAACTCCAGCAAAAATGGGGCATGTGCAAGACCTGGGTTAGATTCTCGGCCAGTGTACCTCATGCACAGTCTGTCAGTCAGTCTGTCACTGGAGGCTTGTGTGTTGCTATGATACTGAACAGGTTTCAGCAGAGCTTCTAGCCTAAGATGGACTAGGAAGAAAGGCCTGGTGATCTACTTCTGAAAATCAGCCAGTGTAACCCTTTGGATCACAAGGGTCCAGTCCGCAATCAATCATGGGATGGCTCAGGAGTGGGCAGCATTTCATTTGATTGATTTCGTTGTGCGTGGGTTGGCCATGAGTTGGGGGCTGACTTGACAGCAGTTTACAACAACAGTATAGGAGACATGGCAGGAATGCAGCTGGGCCCCAGGAGCAAGTGTGTTCTCTCCCCATCTCCTCTTTCCTTCCCTGGGTATCTGTGCCATCGTCCTTTTCAGAGGACTGACTGTTCCCCAGTGTGAAGTCCGTGTGGTGGACAGGTGTCTGCTCACAGCAGCCCAGTCCACACGTGACCGTTCCACCCACACAGTCTCTCTGGCTCTCCTGCTTTCACCCCACTCTCAGGATAAGGAACCGGGTCCATCTTGGGTCTGGAGGGGCTTGCACAAACAATGCAGCCAGGAGCCCACCCTGACGATGTGGGTGGGCACATTTTAAGGGTCATTGTGGGCTAGGCTGGCTCCCCAAGGGATCCACTGTCTCTTTGCCCCACCAGTTTCCTTCCCTTCCCCTTTGCTTCTGGATTTGCTTTGCATGAGCCCAGCACATAGCTTCCAGGGGAGGGGCGATCTTAAGGAGAATTTTCTCTCCTTAATGATCTTACTTTCAAGTGTCGGGTGATCATGTCTCGTTTTGTTTCAGACCCTCCTCCTTCAGTTGAAGCCCCTGTCATCACATCTGTCAGTCATAATTCAATAAAGGTCACATTCAGTGAGTTTAATGACAGCCATGGACCGATCAAAGCCTACGCTCTCATTGTGACCACCGAGAAGGGTAACGAGGGGTCCAGTCAGGGTAACCAGTGAATGATGACGTGACCGGCTGCCATTTCTGTGCCCACTGAGACATATTAACGATACAAATATATGTCTCTCTTTTACACTGTAGCCTACATTTTGGCACTCAGACCCTGGAGCTATTTGCTTGATGATCTGGTTTGGCAAACTTTTTGCGCAAAGGGCTAGATAGCAAATATTTTATGCTTTGCAGACCATATAGTATCTGTTGCAGTGATTCAGCTCTGCTGTTGTAGCATGAAAGCAGCCATGCCCATTGCTGTCGAGTTGGTTCCGACTCATGGGCTAAGATGTGTGCAGAGTAGAAATGTGCTCCATAGGGTTTTCGTAACTGTGACCTTTTGCGGAAGCAGATTGCCAGGCCTTCCTCCTGCAGTGCTGCTGGGTGGGTTCAAACTGGCAACCTTTAGTTTAGAAGCCAGCCACCTGGGGACCTTTGAAAGCAGCCACAGACAATACATAAAGCATGAAGGTGGCTGTGTTCCAGTAGAGCTTTACTTAGAAAAACAGGTGGTAGGTTGGATTTGGCCCGTGGGCCATAGTTTGCTGACCTCTGAACTATGTTTTCCTTCTCTTTTTGCAACACAGGATCTTTTAGCTGACAGAATATTAGTCTTGACCAACTTCTCTCTCTGTCTCACACACACGGAATCACAACCATCCCCAGTGGATGACTTTCTCTTGAAGTGGAAGATGATTTGCATTTATTGGTGTGAATTTAAAAAGAGCATCTCCGGAGCTGAGAGAAGAGGTGAATCAAAAGCTGCTTAAGGGTTCCATTACATTCTTTGGCAATAAGAAGGGAATGATTCGAGGTTTTCTTCATGTGGGTGCCTCACACAAGGCCTAGGTCTAAAATGCCAAGTTGGGTTGTTTTTGGTGATTCTATAAATGTGAATGAGGCAGTGCCTTCTGTACCCAGTGTCTCAACCCATGTGCCATCCTGGTCTTAAGGGCAAGATCACAAGCACGGTGTGGAATGGGGGTCCCTGGAAGAGGAGGAATTGGCTGGGATCGTGGATCTTCAGAAAATTTCAAAAAGCAATGTTGAGATCTCTCTTCCTGTCTTTTTATTTGGGGTATGTGTCAAGCTCTTAGTCATTTTGTTGCAATGGTTTTCAACACCTCCCAGGATCAGACCTTTGCTGAATGAGAGAGGCAGTGCTGTGTAATGGTCAGACCCCCTGCTCTGCCTCTTACCACATGTGGGCTCGGGCATTCCGCTTCCTCTTTGTCTGTCTCGGAAGCTTCCACAGCCTTGGTAAATGAGACCACAGGCTCTGAGCCAGATGGTCTGGCTTAGAAATCCAGCTCCACCTCATAGGCAGTGTGACCATGGGCTAGGTCCTTTACTTCCTATGCCTTCATTTCCTCATCTGTAAAATGGGAATAATAAACCTAGCTGAAACATTGGTGGTTCATATCCACCCAGAGGTGCCTCAGAAGGCAGGCCTGGCAATCTTCTTCCAAAAGGTCACAGCCCTGAAAGCCCTATGGAGCAGTTCTACTCTGCACACATGGGGTCACCATGAGTTGGAACTGACTCGATGGCAACAAACCATACGCCTCTGTGATGACATTATTGTGTGGATTAAATGAGTTGATATCAGTAAAGCACTTAGAACAGTGCCTGGCACAGAGAGGACACTGAGAGATGGTCACTGTTACCGTTATCCCCCAGTGTCACCATCATTATTTATATGCATCTCATAATGCATGTGATTTTAAATCACTGTCTGCCATCACTTTCTTATGATTTCTGCACGCCTTTCTTAGCTAAGCATCCATCACCAGATGTTTTGAAATACACATATGAAGATTTCAAAAGCAGCGTTTCAGATACATTATGTGACATACCTCACAACAAGAGAAGAGAATTGTTCTCAGGGCTTGTCTGAAGTCTTGGAATATGAGATTGATGTCGGCAACGAGTCAACCACGTGTGGCTATCGCAACGGGACGTTGGAACCTCTCAGCTCCTACCAGTAATGTCGTCTGATTTTTGCTCTTTGAGGGGCTGAGCCCCATGAGTACAAAGCTCTACATGCCTCGGGCATTGGATACATCTCAGCCGCCTCTTTTTTCTTTTTGTCTCTCACAGGGTGTTTGTGGCTGGTTTCACCAGAATTGTCTTTAACCACCCTTAAAACTGCGGACTCATAAACAGAACCCAGAGCTATGTGTCCTTCAGTGAATATTAAGAGGCCATTTTGCCCCAGGATCCAGGTAGAGGAAAAACAGTGCTCTTTGCAATTCAGTGGGTTTTTCCTTGAGTTGTGTCCATAGAAGGCCCAGTGTCTCTATTCCTTCTCTGGGCCCCCAGGAGAGTTGACATGCCAGCTCTCCCCTCTTGGAAGTTAAGATGTCACTTGGCCTCCATGGCTCAGTTCTGCTTCCTCCCCTGAGGTCAATGACAGCCCCCCTGCCCCCCTCCCCGTTCATCTCTGAATGCCTGCTGCACTTACAATCTGCAAAAACTGTTTTGTCCTTTTATTTCAGTATAGTCATTTGTGCCCATGTGCCAGGCACATCTGTGAATTTTAGTGCGTGGGATCCTGGGCTGGTCGTTCGTGCAGCATGTGCTCCTGTGTGAACACTCCTGACGTGCCTCCTGTTTGGGCTTTTCCCAGGTGTCATCAGTGGAGCAGTGTTTGGCTGTATCTTTGGTGCCCTGGTTGTGGCTGTGGGAGGCTTCATCTTCTGGACAAAGAAAAAGTGACTGATGACTGCTTATGTTAAAATAATAATAAATAAAAAAACTGGCTGCTGAGTCGATTCCAATTCATGGTGGCCCCATGTGTGTCAGAGTAGAACTGGGCTCCACAGACTTTTCAGTGGCTGATTTTTCGGAAGTAGGTCACCAGGCTTTTCTTCTGAGACATCTCTGGATGAAGGGTGAATCTCAGGAGTGACTTCAGTACTGAGTTAAAAGGGTATCTGGGGCTATACTCTTGGGGTTTCTCTAGTCTCTGTCAGACCAGCAAGTCTGGTCTCCTTTTTGTGGATTTGAGTTTTGTTCTACATTTTTTTCCCACTTTCTCATGGACCCTCTATTGTGATCCTGTCAGAGCAGTCGGTGGTGGTAGCTGGGCACCATCTAGTTGTTCTGGGCTCAGTCTGGTGGAGGTCGTGGTAGTTGTGGTCCATTAGTCCTTTGGACTAACCTTTCCCTTATGTCCTTGGTTTTCTTCATTCTCCTTTGCTTCAGCAAGGATGGGATCAGTAGCTGTAACTTAGATAGTACTTAAACTCCCTCTTTGTCTTTGAGGGATTGCTTTGACCACATAAGTGCTTTTTAGGGGCCGCTTTTTCACAGAAACAAACGGTGAACACAACACAAGTAGCGAACTAACGAGATGCCAAGTGAACAATGCTGAAACAGTGAGTGCTGGCGAGAGACTGAGGACCTGTGAAATGGTGGGAGGCCATAGCAGGGTATGCCAGATATCACTTCATTTGCATGGATTCAGCATAGTGCTTCGCGCACAGCAAATTCAAGTTTGCTTTTTGGAACTTACTATTTTTTTTCCTTTCCGAATATTTTCAATCTTCGGTTGGTTGAATCCACAGATGTGGAACCCATGGATATGGAGGGTCGACTGTATTTTCTGGTGAATTAAATTTGTATGGGGGGAGAGGTAAAATGCATAAAAACCAAAGATGGCAGCACATGAAACTGGTACAATCCAAATGAATTCTGTTTGCCTACTTCATGAAATATTGCAGCTTTAAGACTTCAGTCCCATTAAGAAACAGTAGGGCTAGCGAGGACTTCGTTCTTGTACTTGGCCGACAGGCAAAGGATGATAAACCTACCTGAGAAGTGAACAGTGAGGAAATGTGATCTAGACTATAGCGGTTATTTTCAGTGCTCACCAACTGGAAAATGCAGAACTGTTTAAAACACAAGATTTTAATTTATTACTTGAAATAATCAACATGCTGCTTTTCTAAGCAAAGATTATTAGCATTCAGAAACCGATTTTTATATTTTTAAGTTTATATTTCTTAACACTATTCCAGAGATAAAACATAAACAGTATAAACCAGGGCTTCAAATGGTTAGAGCTCTGGCTGAGAATTTGCATTTCTGCCCCAGAGATACTGAATCAGAATCTATATTTTAACAAGATCCTCAGGTGTTTCTTTATTCGGGGTGGAAAGGCAAATTCTCAGCAGGGGGTCAAACCAGAACGAACTGGTTTGAGGCCCTGATACAAATCAACACTAGTCAGCAAATCTTTAAGAATAAAACCCTGTAATTCATGTTTAGTATTAACTCTGCTGTGAGAACAAAAAGTTTCACTCTGAAACAACATTTGATGTATAATAAGTAACTTTTTTCATGAAGAACATTCACTACAGACTAATAGTGACAATGACCCTATCCTTATAAAATAAGAAACTGTCCACAAGGAAGCAGTATTGAATGACCTAGTGTGGGGAGTCAGAGTCTGAGCTGACTGAATGGAATGTCTGTGCAGGGTGTCCCAGCACGAGGAGTCAGACAAGCAGGTGATCAGGACAGCCATGCACAGGGTGGGACGACCTGGTGTGAGAAATCAAGAGCCCAGGGAGATGAAGAGTATCCATGTTAGAGCGTGAACTGGCTTGGGGTGTCAGAGAGTGTGAGCAGGTGAGAGGGCTTCCACGTGCAGGGAAGGCCTGGCATATGGTGGAAACACAACAGGGTGAGGAGGGCGTCCGTATGGGGCAGCAGCCCAGGTGGGGAATGAGAGCTCGAGCAGAGCGAAGGGGACAAACCCTACCTCACTGGAATGTTTTAGGATCAATTGGGTGATACAAGTAAAGTGTGTAAGCTCAGAGTAAGCATATGCCAAGTGTTTGCTATTAATAATGGACATAAAGTGCCTGGCACAGTGCCAAACACGCAATACCCAACGAGTGGCTCTTTGTTATAGGATTATACCATTACATTACATTCTGACACCTCATAAACATACAACAGCAGGTGTTTGGATGATGAGCAAAATTATTTCTAAAAATTAAGTTCCCCCAACACCTATAACACCTACATCCCTTTCAGTAACTATTTCTTACCCAGACGTCCAACCTGGCTCTTTACTGTTTAGTTTTGGTTAATTTTCCTTTCACATTCCTTTAAACTCTCTCCCCCTTTTCGTCCTGGCCCTCCTTCAAGATCCTCTAATTCACATATTAGCACAAAACCCACCATCATCACCTGGGAAACAACTTAAAACGTGAAACATCCAGGCTGGAGCAAAGAGCTTAAACAGACTCAGTGAGTCTGCAGCTACTTCCCCGCAAAGCACGTTCAGAGAAACTTGATACATGTCTTATTTGTTTCCTACCTGTCCGTGTTTCGGAGCATGCATGTATACCCCCAGGTAGAGTCCCAAGGACGGGGAGTAAGCAAGCCGCAATTTGTGTCCAGTCCCAGCAGCGAGCCCAGGGACGTACTCCAGCATGTCGGCCACCATCAGGCACATTTGGTCCTGCCCAAGATAAGAGTTAATAAGTGGCATCAAAGGGAATACAGGTTAGAAAAAGACTCCCTCCCCTTATTAAGGATGCACATCCATTCTATCCCAGCATGCTTAGAGTTTATCTGTGAAGGTCCTACAGGAATTGCTTTTTTCAAGGGTAAATGAAAAATATCTCTTCAGTCTAAAAGATAAAATCACCAGCTGTTTTGTGAAGAATCTTCAGAACGATTTTACCAACTTGCATTTTGAAAACACGTTTGTTCCTGTTGAGTGAAGGGCACACTCACTGTACTACTCTTTCAACTTTCCTGTAGGTTTTATAATTTTCAGAATAAAAAGACAAAAGCTAGGGGGGAAATGTATGAAAAATGAAGCTAAATGAAACTGTCTCAACCTGGAAAAGACCTACAATTTCCAAACGTACTGATCTGATCATCTTTCAGAGAAGCAGCAAGATTTGTTTCAATTTTCTCACAATCCACAATCCTATTTTAACTTACAGTGACTCTAAATGTAGCATTTACCTTAAAAGACTACATTCATAGTTTATGACCCCGACACAGAGCAAAGATGAAGGCATCATGCTCAACACAATGAACAGCAAGAGTGAGGGGTTGATCTGAAGGCCCTGGTCACCCCTAAAAACATGAAGTCAGAAGTTTTAGAATTTTACTGTTGCAAACAATCTGGTCATTAGAATTTGCATTCAAGAGATGTAATAAAATTACAAATGCACAATTAACAGAAGGACAAAGAGTTTATATGTTGGTCTAAGAGAACTACATTTTTATTTGATTTATGAACAATTACTATAATCAATTTAAAAAAGTTCTATTTAACAGTGGAATACTGCTCCCTTTTGTATCGTTTTATTCTAACCATCAAAAACATCCTACTTCTAACAATTTCACACAAAATTGGCTTTGGTGAGTCTTGGCAGAGGACTGAACCGGACAGTGTGAGAATATAAAGAATAAGCCAGAGTTTCTACTGTCAAGGTGTCCAATCACAGATAAAGTGGACCCTGGAGATGGCTTTCCTCAGGTGAAATGTGTTATGTAGATGTCTCTCCTTTCCAGGATATTGTTTATCTGCCTTGGAGCGAGACTGGAGCCAATAATAGGAGCTGACTAGTGCAAAAAAGTTAAATTCTTGGGCCCTTTGATTTACCTGCTAGACACCACTCACCTGATAGCTGCTGGCATCCAGCCTATAAGTAATTGTTGCATTACTGAACTGTTTCAGTTCCACAATTGACACCATCCCTACAAGATTGAAAACAGGTCAATGATACCCAAAACACCTCTTAATCATATTTAGAGAAATCCAAAGGCAACAATGATGCAACCATAAACAATGTCTTTATAAGTAACAGGAGTTCTACATTTCTATAATGTCATGGATTGAATTGTTTCCCCCAAAAATATGTGTCAACTTGGTTAGGCCATGATTCCCAGTATCATGTGGTTATCCTCCATTTTGTGATTGATGTAATTTTCCTATGTGTTGTAAATCCTTATCTCTGCCTGTGGTTAACGAGGCAAGATGAGATTATGTTAATGAGGATTAGGGTAGGATGTAACACCCTTACTCAGGTCACATCCCTGGATCCAACATAAAGGGAGTTTCCCTGAGGTGTAGTCTGTATCACCTTTTATCTTACAAGAGATGAAAGGGGAGAGAGTGGGGGGACCTCATACCACCAAGAAAGCAGCACTGGGAGCAGAGCGCATCCTTTGGACCCAAGGTTCCTGCGCTGAGAAGCTCCTAGACCCAGGGAAAGATTGATGAAAACGACCTTCCTCCAGAGCCAACAGAGAGAGCGAGCCTTTCCCTGGAGCTGGTGCCCTGAATTTGGACTTGAAGCTACTAGACTGTGAGAGAATAAACTTGTTTGTTGAAACCATCTACTTGTGGTATTTCTGTTACAGCAGCACTAGATAACGAAGACATATACTAACAAAGTTTTAGGATGTATCTTTCCTATATATAGCACATCTAAAATATTTTGAATCATTACTGGATCAATATAAAAATATACTTGTATACTGCTAGGGGAAATTTTTGCCACTTAAAGACAGTAACTCATATTACCACTCAATAGAATTACATCATTCTTCCCAAAAGAATCACTGGGTACCTTTCACATGCCAGGCACTGCAGACACAGCAGTGAAGAAAACAGAAAAAAACTCCTGTATTCATAGAACTTATATTCCACTGAGGGGGGAGAGGGGAAGTAGAAAATCAAAAAACCAAACCCATTGCCGTCGAGTTGATTCTGACTCATAGTGACCCTATATGACAGAGTAGAACTGCCTCATAAGATTTCCAAGGAGTGGCTGGTGGATTCATACCACCGACCTTTTGGTTAGCAGTTAAACTCTTAACCACTACGCTACCAGGGCTCCAGTAATTTAAGTAAAATGGTAATAAGTGGAGAAAAAACAGGGGAGGGCACAGAGAATGCAGGTGGTGACAGGGAGAAAAGGATTGCAATTCTGAAAGGTGCTCAGGCCTCAGTGAGCAGGTGACACTGAGTAAAGATGTCAGGGAACTGAGCCAAGCAGGTAGCTGGGGAAAGACTACACCAGGAGACGGCCCTGAAGTAGGAGTGTGCCTGGCAAGTTCAAGGAATTACAAGAAGGCCATGTGGTTGGTGCAGACAGAGAGAATCAGATGAGGTTAGAGAAGCAGCAGGGGGCACTGGATGTCAATGTAAGGACTGTGGTTTTACTCTGAGCCAGATGAGAAGTCACTGCAGGGTTTTTAGTAGTGGAGTGATATGATCCAACTTATGTTTTAAATGCATCACTGTGGCTGAGAAGTTTCTGAAGAGAGGTAAGGGCAGGCCTGGGGAGATATTTAGGAAGCTAATGGAATAACACAGACAAGAGATAGTGGTAATTAGGAGAAAGGTTATGAGCAGTTGAACTTGTTTTGATTATTTTAACTACAGCACCTCAAACTGAGGGTAGACAGCTAGTCAACTCATCTCTACTACAGGACTAAGAATGAATTATTTGTTTTCCCACACTCCAATATGCTTTACTGTCCTCATCAGCTGTATAAACTCTCATCCTTAAAAAACACAAAAAAAGCATTAGGGACTCACTAGGCCAGCCATAACGCTTGACCACTTCAGGGGTAGTGCAGAAGCAATTCCTGCATTGGATGATGGGGCTGGACTTCTAAGGTCTGTTTTCACACCAACATTCTTTGATTAAAGTTAAATCCACGCTCAGTTCCAGTTCTTACCAGGTATTGCATGAGGAGGTAGTTTAAGAACAGAGATTCCCCCAGAAGCAGACGGTAGAGCAAACAGAGCCTCCCCATCACTGCTAAGCCAGGCTGCTGAGGCAGAAGAATTAGGGGACAGTCCAGGTACAGTGGGAATTAACTGATAGCTGCAAGGATCCCTGAAATCAACCTTTCCAATGTCGGTGAATATTGACTGCATCTGACTTTCAGTTACCAACTCCTGTGGAGTAAATAAAAAGAAACACCTGTTAAATCAAAATAACCCAAGTTCTGCTAGGTTCCTCTCCACTGCTACAAAAGACTTGAAAGTAAAAAACATAAAGCTTGAAAAGAAAGCTATTCTTTTTAATGAACATTATTTTCTTCAGCTTAAAAATGTGTAGTTGATCAACCACCTGGTGAGGGCTAACAAGGAGTCTAAATATCCTTTGATTCCAAGGGTATTGCTCTAGCACTGAGTCTGTGAAGCCAGAGTAATTTGGGAAATAACCAACTTACACTCCTATACATCCAGGAAGGGTGTGGTAAAAGTAGCCTGTGCGCTGTCTGGTCACTGTCAAGATTATCACATGATTCTGAGTCTCAGAGACATACACGCCTCTGGGTAAGATGCTGCAGTTTTGGAATTTGAGGTGAACTGCATTATTCAACAGGTTTACATCCAGTGACTCCTCCACCAGCTCCAATGTATCTCCTGAGGTTTTCTTGTTAAAAGAGACGTGTTTAAAAAATTTATGCATTTTTTTTCCTCATTGACAATTACATTAAAATATGGCAGAATGATTTCCAGTGAACTCTTCCAATTTGAAAAATTTGCATAAATGAATTCAGACCAAGTTTTACATTCCAAATCACATTACGTAGATTTACAAAACACAGCATAACATAATATTCAAATCTTATTATATGAGTCCCTGTTAAACAGAGGCATTTACAAACCTGACTGCCCATTTATTGAGATCAATATGCAAGGCAATAAACTCTGCTATAATGAAAATCCACACCACATACCCCCATTAGCTGGAGTGGAATGTGGCCTCCACATATACTACTACAGAGCCAAACAAAATTGACCTCAATAAATGTGGGTATTTCCCTCCTCTAACTTTCTTAACTTGGAATAGCACAAAAGAATGGCAATTTTACGGTTTTTGCCCTTGTATATATATGTTTTAGGGGACAGTATGTCTTACTAAAAAAATATTTTTAAAACATAATAACTTTTCAGGTTGAACTTATGGTTAGTTTGTTTAGTGATAAGCTATTCCAACTTCCACTTTATTCCTCAGAAGGAGGATGTTTATTAATAAATGACTGTAAACTATGTCTTATGCACAGTGATATCCTCAGACCCAGCAAAGTTCCAAGGACATAGCTAGAACTCAATAAATGTTTTTTCAGAAAATACATAAAAAGTTTGAAAAATAAAAAACCAAAAAACTTTATTCAAACTCAAGTTGCACCACATTTCCTATATGAAACAAACACTCTGCCTAAGGCCGCTAAGTCCACCGTCTGAATTCAGATTAAAACTCTTAAACGCCCCCCATCCCTGTGCCTAGTTATACCCATCACAGAAGATGAATGTTACCTCACTCTAAGAAAGAGGTTTCTTATTTTTCACTTACCAGTATGTTATAAAAACCACTGGCACATATTTACTCGTCTATGTCCTTCACTCAGCACTGGGGCCTGTCAAATCCGATGCGTTCCTCTTCCTGACACTGTTCCTTCCCCTCCACCTCTGCAATTATGCGGCCATCCCTTCTTGGACTACTGTACCCTTTTCCTTCGTGCCTTCTCAGCAGCACCAGATGACATTTAATGGCCTTCTCTGCCTCTGCTGTGGTCACATTTTCTCCAGAATACTGAAACAGATTCCTCCTTGCAGCAAACTCATGCTACGTCATCAGCACAATTTTCTGTATCCTCAACCCCTTCTCAACACTCCCTTCACCTTCCTGCCTTCTGGGTAAAGTTGGGTTCTGGATCTTCCCTGAGGACACTGTCCCCAGCAGCCCTCTCTAATGGTGGCAGCTTTCTCTACCACCCTCCTTGTAGTGGGGCCTCACTCAAGGTAGGGTTCAGATGTCCTGCTTGCTCCCCATTTCCACTTCTAGACCACTGTGCAGCCTTCCCTGTCCAAACCACTCGGCTCTGGGGCTCATGCCATCAGATGCTACCTCCCACTCTTGCTTACTGCAGTTACCTACACAGGCCTTTCATTCCTCGAAGACCTTAGCTCCTGGCTCACTGTCACTCTCTCCCATACCATTCTGCCATAATTCTTAATGATTTCAATATCCACGTAGGTGCTTTTTTAATATCCCATCTTCTTGGTTTCTTGAACCTTCCCCCCCACAGTGGCTGCCCTCAACTGCACCTTCTAGATCACTCCCAACGGCATATAAACATACTGTTTGTCTGTACGATCCATCACACTCCAGCCACCAGTTGATTTCTCTGCTTCCCTTAGGACAATGCTCCTTGAAAGAGCTGCTCTATAGTCACAATTCCTCTCCTCCCCTTCTGTCTGGAGCTCACTCCACACAGGCTGTTGCCTACCCAGTCTGCTGGGGCAGTTGTTGACAAGGTCACCAATGATCTCCATGATGCAAAAGTCAATTTTCAGTTCTCATCTTACCTGACTTATACACAACAATTGAAGGTTTTTCACTCTCCTCCTCCTTGGACTATTCCCCTTAGCTTCTGGAACATCACTTTCTTTAGTTCAGCTCCCACCTCCCTAGCTATTCCTTCTCATCTCCTTGGCTGGTTCCTCATCTTCCTAAACGGTGGAGTGACCCCAGGGCTCAGTCCTTCTCTCTTCCTTCATCTACACAAGTGGTTCTCAATCGGGGGCAATTTCTCCCTCCCCAACCCCAAGGACATTTGGCAATACCTGGAGACATTTTTAGTTGTCACAACTGGGATGGGGAGGGTGCTACTATATGCAGTGGGCAGAGGCCAGGGATGCTGTTCGACATCCTACAATGCACAGGACAGCCCCCACAACAAAGAATTGTTGTTGTTAGTTGCCTTTGAGTCATATCCAGGCCCAAATGCCAATAGTTCTGAGGTTGAGAAGCACTGATCAACACTCATTCAGTGTACCAGCTTTAAATGTCATCTAATGCCAATGATTCCCAAAATCCATCTTCAGCCCAAGCTCTCCACTGAATTCTGGACTACTACCACAGCACCTCCACTTAGATATCTAACAGGCATCTCAAACTAAACCTGTCCAAAACAGAATTCCTAGACCTACCAAATCCAACAAAGAAACAAAAACCCATGGCTTCACTGCATGCTTTCCCATCTCTAATAACAGTCTCCATAGCTTCTAGTTGCTCAAGCAAAAAATCTTGGGGTTACCCTTGAAGCTTCTCTTTCTGTATACCCTACATTCAGGGGCGGATTAACCAGTAAGCATGGTATGCAGCAGCTTACAGTAAGCAAGGAACGCTCGAGCTTAATTGTGCTTACTTACTAATCGGTAGTGCACAATTTCACCTGGGTTTCTCGTCACTGATTTGAAACGCAGGTGAAATTGTGCACTACAGATTAGAAAGTAAGCACAATTAAGCCTGTGCATACACCTTGCTTATTGGGTAATCTGTCCCTGCCGACAGTTGATCCATTAGTAAATTCTAACAAATTTGCCTTCAAAACATATCCAAAATCTAACCATTTCTCACTACCTCTACTACTACCACCTGGTGGAAGCCATAATCATTTCGTCTGGAATGTGGCAGCAGCCTCCTAACTGGTCTCTGCTTCCACCCTCCTCATACTACACTTTACTCTCAATGCAGCAGTCACAGTGAACCCTTCAAAAACACAGCTGAGATTATGTCATTCCTCTACTTAAAACTCTCCAATGGCTTCTTCCCATCTCACTCAGAAGAAAAGCCAAAGCCTTGAGATAACCGACAAAGCCCTGATCTGGCCCTTGGCTACCTCTCTCTTAGTATTTTATTCTTTGTTCACTCAGCTGAGACTCCTGGTCCCTTGTCATTCTTTGAACATAACAAACTCCTGTCTCAGGGTTCTTTGCACTTTTTGTTCTTTCTTGGAAGGCTCTACCTGAAATGCTCTCCTCCCAGATATCCTCATTTCCTCTGCTCAAATGCCAGCTTATCACTGGGTCTTGCCCAACCACCCTATATAAAATAGTAACTCCTGTAGGCATTCCCCTTCTCTCTAACCTTGCTTCCCTCTATTCCACTTGTTTATTTTATTTTTGTTATTTATTGCCTATCTCTCAATGAGAGTGGGGTCTTTGCTGTATTCGAAGTCCCTAAACATTGGCTGGAACATAGCAGACACTCAAAAATACTTCTTAAGTAAATGAAATTTGTATCTAACATATCTAAAATGCCTATCTCTCTTCTGACCTCAGCCCTGTAAATCCCAATGCCTACTTGACAATTCCATGGAGCTGCTGCACAGGTACTTTAAATGCGATACATACAAAAGAATTATTCACATCTCTCCAAAACTCACCTTGTGTATCTCAGTAAATGGCAAGAACGTCCCCCCCACCCAATATCTGGTTAGTCACATTAGAAACCTGGGACTTGTCCTTGCTCCCCCCCAACCCCCAATATTCAATCCTTCACCAAGTCTGAGCAAATCTACCTTCCACATATATCTTAAATACATCTACTTCTCTTTTCATAGCCATTCCCACGATGCAAACCACCAGCATCTCTTACTTGGTCCATCACAAAAGCAAACTGTTCTTTTCTATTACCCCTACCCAACCCAAGTCCATTTTTCACACAGTAAACTAATCTTCCAAAAATGCAATTTTGATCACGTTAGTAACTCTTTAAAAACCTGTCAATAAACACACAATGTATTGTGGATAAAAATCCAAAATCCTTAAAGTGGCCTGAGGAGGATCCTTCGTGGTCTGAGTTCTGCCTACCTCTCTAGTCTCAGCATCTCTCCCACCACTTCCTCCTTTACCCACTGCAGTCAAGCCACACAGACTTTTGGTCAGTTCCTCAAACCTCCCAACTTCTTTCCATCTCATGGCCTTTGCATATGTTGATCCTTCTTGAAGGACTGCTTCCCTTCTCCAATACCTAGATAACCTTCCATCCTTCAGATCTCAGCTTAACTGTGACTTTCTCAAACACCTTCTCTGCCCCATCAATCTAAATTAGGTCCTCCCATTGACCTCTCACAGCCCCTATACTTTTCCTTAGGGGCATGTATTTATAGCTATTTATATACCTATAATAGTGCTCATTAGTTTAATGTCTTTTTTTCCTCCACAAAACTGCCTCATGAAAGCTGGGTCCATATATGTCCTTTGCCTACTACAACACTAGCACCTAGCACAGTGCCTGCACTAAGTAAAAGCCCAACATATAACTATTAAATGAGTGACTTGATCAGAAAATAAATAAATTAATAATAGTTATGTACACTTAGTCTCTTTATCTATAATAGGCACATGGCAATATCTAACTCACAGTTGTTTCAAGAATTAAATGAGATCATGCATACGACAGTATAAAAGCAGGTTTGTTTTGTTTTTTGCTCACCATTTTATCCCTGTATCTACCACAATGCCTGACATGTAGAAGTTCAACAAAAATTTGCAGAATGAAGGCAGGTGTAAAGCACTATAAAATATAATGGGTTCATGTTTAAAACCTGGTCTTCAGGGCTTTATTCCAAGCTCTGCTTTTAGTGCTGCGTGGGCTGTATCTCTCCTAGAACTTTCTGTCTCCTTAATTTTCCCGTGTATCAGACATAAATTGAAAACAGTCTTTCCTAACTGTCGATTATCATTCTGGAAAATGACACTTTGGAAATAGCCACGAAAATCCTGACACCCAACAACCCTACTTTCCAAGGGGGTTTGGCGAACATGGCACTTACCAATGAATAAACCTGCTTCTGGTGACGCAGAATAATTTACCACTTTCCAAATAGTAGAAGTCTCCCGCGCTCTCACCGTATTTCACCCTTCCGGCCACGGCATTCACAGTCCCTGCAAAAGGAGCGCGGTCAGTCTGTACACGTGGTTCCCTGGGGATGACTGGGCTGAGGGCGCTGGGGAAGCAGAGAGTGACGGAATGGCAACCCGTACGGAGAGAAGGTGATGAAAAGAGCAAGAAGTTAGACACCGGAGAAGCTCTCATCCAGGGCCCGGAGGAACATGGACTTAGAAGAATGAAGTGGTGCGGGGGCAGATACCCGGGGACCCATGAGAGGAGCCAGAGGGAAAAGATAAGATCGCGGCCTCCCTGGTCGCTTCCGTACCAACGCCGCAGACTGTGAATTCCGGAAAATGCCTCGGCCTTTCGCGCTCAGCCCCGCTTAGCTCCAAGAAGCTCCGTTCCACAGCTCCCGCCGCCGCCATCTTTCCGCCGCAGTCGCGAGGCCCGACGGGACACAGGCAGGGCCGTGGGGAAGTCGTCACTTCTGGGGACGGGGCGAGCGGAGCTGTGAACCGGTCAAGAAACGCGGGGAGTAGACAGGCAGGTCGGACCCTCCGCCATTGCTGGGCTGCTACCGAGTTGGCGAGAGAATGAGGATGGGCAGGGAGCGCGCCACTAGAGAAAAGGGGAAGGGAAGCTGAGTCGGTGTCCGTCCGTCACCGAGTGGCGGCCTAGGACGCCTCCGCCGGGCGTTGCCCTTTTCCTGGCGTCCTCAGAGCCGGGGGCGGGCCCGGGCTTGCTTCCACGTTAAAAATGCCGGCCCGAGCTGCAGGGCTGAGCCTCCCCGGAGGGGCGACTTCGGCAGGGGCGGGCGAGTGGGCGTCTCCTCTGCATCCCAAGTTTGCGGTCTCTTCTACCTCTGTCCTGGAGCCCTGGTGGCGCAGTAGTTGAGTGCTTGGGTGAGCGAACGGTCGGTGGTTCGAACCCACCAGCTGCTCAGGGGAGAAGGATGTAGCAGTCTGCTTCTTACAGCCTTGAAAACCCTATAGGGTAGTTCTACTCTGTCCTATAGGGTCGGTAGGAGTCGGAATCAACTGGATGGCATTGGGTCTACCTCCCACAGGGTTTTGGTCTGTAAATATCGGCCTGATCTCCCTTTGTTTACCCTTCAGAGACGCATGGGGTGGAAGGAAGAGAGGCAGCGACAACGAAAAGAGCCTTTTGTTTTCTGTTGTAATATTTTCAAGACATTGTATTCGTGTTTTCTTGTATAATGAAACATAAGAACGTGTTAAACGTTATTGATACGGCAATCTGCGGTTGATTTATGTTGTTACGGTTACCTGAGCGCTGCTTATTTGCCCGCGGGAAAGGAGTTCGCCTTTTGTTCCACCCCGATCTCGCTCTTGGTTGTCAATGCAGAAGGGCCTATAGAGGATGTTTAGAAAATGTGGGTTTACACACCATATCTAGGGCAGAGCAGATGCTCAGAAATGAGAGAAGTGCTAATTTTAAGGAGAAAAGGTTTTTTTGTTTAATGATAACCTTTGTTAAGCACCTCTAACCTTGTATTTACCAGGGACCGAAATCTTTGTCATTCATCGTTTCATTCATTCTATTCTGATGTATTCTTTCCAGCTCATTCCCTCTAAGACACCAATTCCAGCAATCTGTCCATGCCACCTACAATCCGTTTTTCCTGTGCATTTTCACTGTCCCTCCCTTGATGTTCCTTCTTGCTCCGCTTAAATTCCTTGACATCACTCCATCGCCAGCTCTAGCTCTCTTCATCATAGTCCGGTAAAACTGATCACTTTGATTAAATACGAATCTGCAGCTGAACGGGGCTGGATAAAAATATACGACCATGTTGTTCTCGTTGCTAGGTGCCCAGTTAGTTTCTGCTCATAGCGACCTCATGCACAGTAGAACATAACGGCGCCCAGTACTGCGCCATCCTCACAACCATTCTTAATGCTTGACCTCATTGTTGCAGCCAGTGTGTCAGTTCATCTGTTTGAAGGTCTTCCTCTTTTTTGCAGACCCTCTATTTTACCAAGCATGATGTCCTTTTTCAGGGACTGGTTCCTCCTTGATAACATGTCCAAAGTGTGTGAAACGTAGTATCGCTGTCTTTGCTTCTAAGGAGCATTTTGGGTGTACTTCTTCCAAGACAAACTTGTTCGTTCTTCTGGCAGTCCATGGTATATTCAGTATTCTTCAGCAACACCATAATTCAAAAGCATCAATTCTTGGGTCTTCCTTATCCCCAGCTTTCACATGCATATGAAGGGATTGAAAACACTATAGCTTGGGTCAGGCACACCTTAGTACTTAAAGTGACATCTTTGCTTCTTAACACCTTAAAGAGGTCTTTTGCAATAGATTTGCCCAGTGGAGTACATTGTTTGATTTCCTGACTGCTGTTTCCATGGGCGTTGATTGCGGATCCAAGTAAAATAAAATCCTTCACAACTTCAGTATTTTCTCCATTTGTCACGATGTTGCTTATTGGTCCAGTCGTGAGGAGTTTTGTTGTCTTTATGTTAAGGTGTAATCCATACGGTTGTATGGATTGTTGTAGGTGTAATCCAGCCAACAGCAAAGGCTGTTGTCTTTGATCTTCATCAGTAAGTGCTTCAAGTCCTCTTCACTTCCAGCAAGCGAGGTTGTTGTGTCTTCTGCATATTGTAGGATGTTGATGAGTCTTCCTCCAATCCCGATGCCACATTGTTCTTCATATAGTCCAGCTTCTTAGATTATTTGCTCAGCATACAGATTGAATAAGTATGGTGAAAGGACACAACCCAGATCACACCTTTCTTGACTTTAAACCATGCAGTATCCCCTTGTTCTGTTGGAACGACTGCCTTTTGGTCTAAGTACAGATTCCTCATGAGCACAATGAAGTGTTCCAGAATTACCATTCTTCACAGTGTGTCTTAGGCTGGGTTCTCTAGAGAAGCAAAATCAGTAAAATGTATAAATATATATATAGAGAGAGATTATATCAAGGAAACAGCTCACGCGATTGTAGAGCTAGAACGTCCCAAGTCCATGGATCAGGGTAGAGGCCTCTCCCAAGTCACACAGCTGCAGAAGCTGGCGAGCCCAAGATCGGCAGGTCGGTGAGCAGGGCTTCTGCTCACAGGCTGTGCAGATCGATGAATCCTAGGTTCGGCGGTTAAGCTGACAGCTCAAGTCCCAAGAACAGGAGATGAGATGACAGGAAGCAGCTGCAGGATCCAGAGAAAGCAAAAAGCCAGAACATCTGCTTATATACAGATGTGGGCCACACCTCCAAGGAGACTCCCTTTCATCTGATTGGCTACTCACAGTATATTCAGTCATGGGAGTGATTACATTAAAACACTGAGAATCATGGCCCAGCCAAGTTGACACACAATCTTAACCATCACACAATGTTATCCATAATTTTTTATGATCCACAGAGTCAGTAAAACACAGGTAAACATCTTTCTGGTATTCTCTGCTTTCAGCCAAGATGCATCTGACATCAGCTATGATAGCCCTTGTTCCACATCCTCTTCTGAATCTGACTTGAATTTCTGGCAGTTCCCTGTTGAGCTACTGCATACCACTTTTGGATGATCTTCAGCAAAATTTTACTTGTACATGATATGAATGATATTGTTCGATAATTTCCGCATTCTGTTACATCACCTTTCTTTGGAATAGGTACAGTTATGGATATCTTCGAGTCGGTTGGCCAGGTAGCTGTCTTCCAAATTTCTTGGCAGAGATGAGTGAGCACCTCCAGCGCTGCATCCATTTGTTGAAACATCTCAGTTGGTATTTGGTCAATTCCTGGAGCTTTGTTTTTTGCCAGTGCCTTCAGTGCAGCTTGGACTTCTTCCTTCAGTACCGTTGATTCTTGATCATACACCAAGTCCTGAAATGGTTGACCGTTGACCAGTTCTTTTTGGTATAATGACTCTGTGTGTTTCTTCCATCTTCTTTTGATGCTTCTTGCATCATTTAATTTTTTCCCCATGGAATCCTTCAATATTGCAACTCGAGGCTTGAATTTTTTTCTTCAGTTCTTTCAGCTTGACAAATGCTGAGCGCGTTCTTCCCTTTTGGTTTTCTATCTCCAAGTCTTTGCACAGTTCATTATAATACTTTACTCTGCCTTCTTGAGCTGCCCTTTGAAATCTGTTCAGTTCTTTTATTTTATCAATTCTTTCTTTCACTTTTAACTACTCTACATTCAAGAGCAGGTTTCAGAGTCTCTCCTGACATCCATTTTGGTCTTTTCTTTCTTTCCTGTCTTTTTTTTTTTAATGACCTCTTGCTTTCTTCATGTATGATGTCCCTGACGTCAGTCCACAACTCATCTGGTCTTTGGTTATTAGTGTTCAGTGCATCAAATCTGTTCTTAAGATTCTCTTTAAATTCAGGTGGGATATACTCAAGGTCACACTTTGGCTCTCGTGGACTTGTTCTAATTTTCTTCAACGTCAGCTTGAACTTGCATATGAGCAATTGATGGTCTGTTCCACAGTTGGCCCCTGGCCTTTTCCTGACTGATGATATTGAGCTTTTCCATTGTCTCTTTCCACAGGTGTAGTCAATTTGATTCCTGTGTATTCCATCTGGCCAGGTCCACGTGTATGGTCGCTGTTTATATTATTGAAAAAGGTATTTGCAATGAAGACGTCCTTGGTCTTGCCAAATTCTATCATGTGATCGTTGGCATTGTTTCTACCACCAAGGCCGTATTTTCCAACTACCAGTCCTTTTTCCCAACTTTTGCATTCCTATTAGTAATTATCAATGCATCTTGTTTGCATGTTTGGTCAATTTCAGACTGCAGAAGCTGGTAAAAATCTTCAATTTCTTCATCTTCGCCTTGGTGGTTGTGTAAATTTGAATAATAGTCATATTAACTGGTCTTCCTTGTAGGCATAGGGATATTATCCTATCACTGACAGCATTGTACTTCAGCATAGATCTTGGAATGTTATTCTTATGATGAACGCGACACTGTTCCTCTTCAAATTGTCCTTCCCAGCATAGCAGACCACTTGATTGTCTGATTCAGAATGGCCAATACCAGTCCATTTCAGCTCACTAATGCCTAGGATATCGATGTTTATGCGTTCCATTTCATTTTTGATGATTTCCAGTTTTCCTAGTTTCACGCTGTATACATTCCGCGTTCTGATTGTTAATGGATGTTTGTACCTGTTTCTTCTCATTTTGAGTTGTGCGACATCAGCAAATGAAGACTCGGAAAGCTTGACTCCATCCGTATCATTAAGGTCGACTCTGCTTCTAGGAGGCAGCTCTTCCCCAGTCTTCTGAGTGCCTTCCAACCTGAGGGGCTCATCTTCTGGCACTATATCAGACAGTGTTCTGCTGCTATTCATAAAGTTTTTACTGGCGTATTTTTTCATAAGTAGACTGCCAGGTCCTTCTTCCCAGTCTGTCTTAGTCTGGAAGCTCCGCTGAAACCTGTCTGCCGTGGGTGACCCTGCTCATGTTTGAAATACCAGTGGGAAAGCTTCCAGTATCACAGCAACACACAAGCCACCACAGTACGACAAACTAACAGACACGTGGTAGATATACGACCATACTGATATTAAAAAAAAAAAAAAAATTCCAAAAGACCAAATCAGTTTAATGGATTCAATTTTGATTCATAGCGAACCTATAGAACAGAGGATT